GGAAATTTTGCCAAATTAAAGTGTATATGGAAGAACATGATATTTAAAGGAACTGAAATGTTTAAAGGAGACTGTCTTAATTTTACTAATTTATCTGTGTGGTGTTAGCTTAAAAGTTGGCTTTTATAGCTATTAAGTTAACCCTCTCTTGTCTCCAGCTACCTTAACTGTAGACACCAGGTCTTGCAAATCACCAGTAGTGTGGGACTGGGGTAAGAGAGAGAGTACTTCCCACACTGAGCAGCAAGACTTTTTTTGGAGGGAGACTGGAACAAGATCCTGGTGAGAGCCAGACCAGAATGCAACCCTAGTGAGAGTGATACTCTAGTAGGGAGATGGGATGTTGGAAAGGCTGTGGCATTGCTGTGGTTTAACTGTGGCAAATATAACCAAAGGAGCCCTGAGGTATAGGCCACAGTTAAAGGTTTTACTGTTCTTGCTAGATGAGTAACTGAGTTTTAAATGTTACGAGGCAAAATTTGCTCGATGATTTGGATTTGTGCTACTGAAATGAACCTGGACTTTTTCTAATTGAGGAATTGTGCCTGGGACTGTTGGACTAAACCTGAACTTGTATTGAGAAGTAGTCTTTGCCTTTTCCCAGATGGAAAGAATATACTGAGTCACTGTATCAAAAGGAACTGGCAGACACAGAACAATTTAATGAAATCACATATGAGCAAGAGCCTATGATGATGAAGGAAGAAGTTCAAGCTGCTTTGAAGGAAATAGCAAAAAATAAAGCCCCAGCAATAGATGGTATACCAATTGACATATTTCAGCTCACAGATGCTGCCCTGGATGTGCTCACCAAGTTGTGCCAAAAAATCTGGAGAGCAACCACTTGGCCAACTGACTGGAAGAGATCTATATTTGTTGCCATTCCAAAGAAGGGTGACCCAACAGAGTGTGGAAACTATAGAACGGTATCATTGATTTCACATGCAAGCAAGATTCTACTGAAGATTATCCAAAAATGACTGGAACAGCACATCAGCAAGAGAATTGCCACAAGTTCAGCCTGGGTTTAGAAGGGGTCGTGGTACTAGGGATATTGTTGCTGATGTTAGATGGATCTTAGCTGAAAGCAGAGAATACCAGAAGAATGTCTATC